GGAAAAAAAGCACTTTTTTAAAACGCCAGCTGAAAAAAGCACCTTTAAAAGCTTTTAAAAACGAAATCCCCAAAAAAGCACCTTTAAGTACTTTTTACAAACGCTACGCACCCTGTGTAGAGTGATCCCTTGTTTTTCATAGTTAATGGGGACCAGAACCTTCCGCGAAAGCTGAAGTAGGATTTGCCCCTAGGAATTTTCATGTACGTGGGTACACGAATGTTTTAAATATGTAAACAGTATTTATACTTTACACATTTAAGACAAAAATCACAACAGTATACATATTTACTTAAACGTGTCAGTGCTAATTATGAAGTGTAATTACAAAACCTTATACAGTAATAAACATTAATCAACATTGCTTTCTGAAAGAGTCGAAGAGTCTTGTGTTGGTGGCGGAGGAGAGGCTCTCACTTGACTCATAGAAGCTTAAGGATCACTCGGAGACTCTTCTACTGGAGGCGCTGACGGTAGAGCCCGGGGACTTTACCTTGACGATAAACACGGTGATGGGTAGTTGTCCTTGTTTTTTCTTTTCCTTCATAATTGCCCTGTACAAGGGCATAACCCCATCAACGTGATTGCTGAACTCGACAGCTCGAACCATATTGTCGTCAATGTCTTGTGCAAATTATTGCATCGCTTTTGCCATGTTGCGCAATTGTTGCAGATTCTCCAGGGTAAGTCCACACTTTTCAGTTTCTTCTTCGTCTTCCTCATTTGCAGACTTTGTCATCTCAAGGAGGTCTTCATTGGTCAGGTCTGAGTGGCAATCAATAAGGGCGCTGATGTCTTTTGTCATGTCGACAAATCCTTCATTCCTTATGATGTGAGCCAGCCTCACTGCCTCCTCTACCACTGATTGATGAACTTCTTCAGGAGTGAAGCCTGGATAGTCTTGCACCACGCTCTGCCATAATTTCCTCCAGCTAGATTTTATGGTCTCACTCTTCAAGTCCTTTAATGCTTGCTGAATATTAGACAAACATGAGGCAATGTTGTAACTGCGCCAGTATGCTTTCAAGGTGAATTCGTCATTGGTATCATTAACTGCCGAGATGAGGCCCTCCATTGTATTGCGAGTATAGAGTACCTTAAAGGCACGAATGACACCTTGATCCATTGGCTGAATTAGAGATGTAGTGTTCGGGGTCAGAAACTATCTGCACACTATCATATAGCAGGTCCGTTGCATAGCCTCCTGCACAGTCCAACAGGAGAAGGACCTTATAATTCTCTCTCGTGCATCAACATGAAACAATGCTACTTTCCGCAATGTGGCTATTGACATGATTGTATTTTTTCATTTCTATTTTTTGTTGAATATTTTGGAAAAACCCGCGAAACACTGAAGCCGTAAAACATGAAGCGCGGAATGGTGAGGGAACACTGTACTCTTTTGCTTACGATAAAGCCAGTGCCCTCAATATGTTTTTTGAGGTGACCAACTGAAAAAAACAGTAGGATTCCTTTTATTCAATGTTCTATTGCCAATGCATCTAAGCTCCTCAATGGCAATCAAATCAATATTGTATTGTTTCATCTGTTCTAACAGCAAATGCAAAGCCTTGGCTCTATAGAGAGACAGAACATTCAAGTTTCCAATTCTCATATCCAAATTTCGCTTTCCAAATAGTTTCCACGAAGTCATCCGGGATTTTTTCTTCTAAGGATTTCGTAACAAAACATTTTTACAGGATAGAGGTGTCAACCCTATGCCCAACCCACAACCTGGTGAACCAGTCTCCTGATATAATCCCCAGATTGCAAAATTAAACACAAAAAATGTACTTTCTCTGAATAAATAATTTTTTTCAAAAATTCTTATTTTGACCCTCAAAATGAAGGAGTTGACCACAATCTAGAAAATAAGGTCTTAATAGATTAGTCAAGAGATGCATATTTCTTGGTAAGAAGGAAAGAACTTAGTAAGAAAGAAAGAACTTGAGAAGAAAATCTATTAACTATTGCACAAAACTCCTAACTTTGCTTATCCAAATGTAATTCCATTAAAAAAATATTTAATTACTTATTAATAACAATATTACCTGGTAGGAGAATCTACATCATATGACAAACCATCTGAATCCAGTTCATTTGAATGAATCTCAATCATACCTGGTCTGCTAAACGCTTCCTCATTAATTGAATTTTCTTGGGCACTATTCATTACTGGAGATGATGGCTCTGAAGAGTCACCAAGATCTATAAAGGGAATATCTGACTCTTCAGTTGAGGACTCCAGCAGTGACGACCTATATACATTTGAAGAAACATTTTTATTAGATTTTCAATAATACGATTCATAGAGTTTATTATTCTTTGCAAAGGTTATCTGATGTAAGAAGTTGTGCGATTTCTCTTGAATGTTTTCTATATGTATCTGAATAAGTTGATTTCTCTTGATTGTTGTCTATATGTATCTGAATAAGTATGTCTGAAATCTGTTGATGGCGCAGGCAATGAAGACCTACCTTCATTTGAGGAAACATTTAAGTTAAGTTTCTGATCTGAAGAGTTCATAAAATTCAATATTCATTGCCTGGTAGATGAATCTACATCATATGACAAACAATCTGAATCCAGTTCATTTGAATAACACTCAATCATACCTGATGGTCTGCTAAACTCTTCCACATATAATGAATTTTCTTGGGCACTATTCATTAGTGGAGATGGATTTGATGAATCACATAAATCAAATAAGTGGAATAACTGGAGAAGATGGATCACATAAGTCAATAAGTGAAAAAACTGACTCTTCAGTTGAGGACTCAAGCAGTGACGACCTATATACATTTGAAGAAACATATAACTTAGGTTTTCAGTCAGAAGATTCATAAAATTTATTAATCTTTGCAAAGTTTATCTCATGTGATGTAATGGTTATCTGATGTAAGAAGTTGTGCGATATCTCTTGATTGTTTTCTATATGTATCTGAATAAGTTGATTTCTCTTGATTGTTGTCTATATGTATCTGAATAAGTATGTCTGAAATCTGTTGATGGTGCAGGCAATGAAGACCTACCTTCATTTGAGGAAACATTTAAGTTAAGTTTTTGATCTGAAGAGTTCATAAAATTCAATATTCTTTGCAAAATTTCAGCATGGTAATCTGAGGAAAAAGGTTGTGTGGTTTCTCTTGATTGTTGTCTATATGTATCTGTTGATAGTGCAGGCAATGAAGTCCTATCTTCAGTTGAGGAAATATTTCAATTAGGCTCTTGATCAGAAGAGTTCATAAAATTCAATATTCTTCGTAAAGTTTTTGCATGGTAATCTGATGAAATTGGTTGACTGGTTTCTCTTGATTGTTGTCTACGTGTATATGAATAAGTTTGTCTGAAATTGCCTCCTGCCTGTTCTAAATTTCCCAAATTATGTTCCCTGGTTGGAAAAGATTTGATAACTTAGAAATAAATTAACTGAACTAAAATGGTGTATTTTGTCATTAAATAAAATATAAAAAAATAAGTAATTATTAAAAGAAATTTTTTTATGCTGAATTATCTTTGGATGTGCAAAATGTTATCAATGGGTAATTTTTTTTTTTTTTGAATTGTTCAAAAAGTTCAAGATAGAGCAAAATATGCAAAAAGTAAAATAAAGATGAAGGGATCTGTAGAATATAGAAATGCAAGTAATTACATTTCATAGCAACGGACGGTGAATGTTTATGCTTTATCAAGTTGGATGACATGTTGTAAGTAATGCCAGAGATTGAATTAGGCTTAATCACAACAGTTGATCAACTGATCAGATTCATCAATATGCATTATGTGTTAATATGAAATAAAAATGTGACATTTAAATAGCTAATTAATAGCATAAATTGTTAAGTAAATGAAATACAACCCCCTTCTTCCTAAACCACAAAGAAATGCAATAGTGGTAAGGATATGCTGAAGAGCACATAAACTCGAAATAACAAATAATGAATTCCTCGAAGATAGCAATGATAGGTGAAAATTTCCTATCTGAATTGATTTAAGGCATATCTTGATGTTCAAAGCCTCAGTGAGAGTAAACGTGCTAAAGTTCCTTGATAGATTATTAAAGGAAGATGACATTGACTTAAAAAATTTATTTAGTCATGAAAAAAGCTTGAAAGGGCACAGTTGAAATTACGCAGGCTTAGAATGAGCCACAGGACAACATTTTTAAAAAAAAAAAAATCAGGAAATTTTTTGGAAAAGTATATATATATATATATATACAGTGTAACGTCCCATATCCGGACGTCCCTTTCCCGGAAGGATCGATTTCCCGGACACTTTTTAACAATCAAAATAAACAAACATCTCTTGATCTTCCCCTCCCCCCCCAAAAAAAAGGAAACAGAAAAGACCACCAAGTCCGTGGAGTGACCATTAGTGACGCTCCTCTTCTGGAATGCAGAGAAAGAGGGTAATTTGTTTTCAATAGAGCACAACTGAGTCCCCTCCCCCCCTTCTTTCGTATGCAGCTGGCTAGTAGATGAGGCATTTCCTGGAACCTTTTTACTGTAGAAAAGGGTAAACGTGGAGGGGGAGTATGTCCTTGAGAAACATTGTCCATTCAATATTTAGGAGGCGGGGAAAAAAAAGGGGGTAACATTCTTTCTTTAGCATTGACATGAAAAAGATTTCCAAGACTCCCATGCCACTGAAATATGAATTTGACTAACAAAAGTCCTTTTATTCCAAACCAAAAACTAAATTAGATTTCTCCGAAATGTATTCCTTTTTTTCATGCAGTGCACCTGCAAATACATTATAGGAACAGGCGAATACCTTGGCGAAATAAGTCTTGCAAAATACTCTGAAACTAATTTCTCTCGCCAAATATCTCGTATTTAAAGCAATCTAACGCGTCACATTTGTTCGTTTTTACCGATCTAGCATTTGTGAGTTAAGAATTTGTGATTATCGACAGCTTGCTTCTTTTAATTATTTTTATTAAGTTTTTTGACAAGTTATTGTTTTTTTAAGTTTTTAACTGCGTAATTTTTATTAAGTTTTAATTGAGTTACTGTTATTCGTGTTAAGTTTTTT